ACAGTTAATTGTATTTTTTCACTTCCCTGAGAGATTGCTTCTTAAAGAGCCCATACTCTTTTGCGCTGTGAAATCCTACACTCAAAAATCTCCTTTTAGCATCCAACTATCCAAGAAGACCCTGGTATGCTGACTACTGGGTTCCTACCCATGTGATATTCTGATGGAAATACATATAGATGACTAATGAACAATTTTTCTTGCAAGACAGAAAGGCGAATGCTTTCGGGAAAGTGGATGAACTGGTATGGTGGCTTGGTGGCAAAGGTGCTTTGTTGCCAAACCTGGTGACCTGAGCTTGATCTCAGGAACCCACATGGTGGAGGAGAGAACGAATTGCTTCAAGTTGTCTGTTGATCTACACACACACACACACACACACACACACACACACACACACACACCTTTGATACAGGGTCTGATTGTGTGACCTTGGCTACCCTGAAACTCATTTTATACAAACCACACTGGCTGTAAACTCACAGAGATTCATTCATCTCTGCTTCCCAAATGATAGGATTAAAGATGGGCACCACCACATCCAGCAATAAAAAAATCTTTAAAAAGAAATCAAATGCAGTAGCTCAGTAATAGAGTGGCTGCCTACCATGTGTGAGACCCAGCACGCAAAAACTACACGCTGTCCAAGAACATATATACAAGTGTATTTTTTAATAACCAACGGAAGTAAATGTTAAGATAACTATTGAATTTGTGAGTTAGAGTCAATTAGGAAAATACCTCCACTAAATTGGGCAGTACTCAAGCTTGTAGGGCATTTTTCTTTATTAGTGATTAATTGTGGATGGTGCTATCCCTAGGCTGAGTTCTATAAGGAATCAGGTTAAGTAGTACCCCTCCATGGCCTCTGCATCAGTTCCTGCCTACAGGTTCTTACCCTGCTTGAGATCCTGTCCTGACTTCCTTTGATGATGAACTGTCATATAGAAGTGTAAGCCAAATAAACCCTTTCTTCCCCAAGTTTTTTTGGTCATGGTGCTTCATCGCAGCAATAGTAACCCTAAGACATTTTTTTTTATTTTGTTATTATTTAGAGAGGATCACGCTCTGGAGTCCTGGATACCGTGAAACTCACTGTGTATTCCAGGGTGACCTCAAACTTGCAGTAATCCTTCTACCAAGTACTGGGATTGAAGGTGTGAGTCACTGTACCCAAGTCTTTTATTTCCCTTCTTAGAAGGTATTTATTTCTTGAAAGCTGTGTATATGTAAAGTGTTTACCACGATGCTTTGCTATGCATGAAGTACAATGATGACTTGTCAAACACATTAACTTACAAAACATGGTCACCTTTCATTTGTGGTAAGAAGCACCTACACTCCCTCTCTCAGAAAACTCTCATTATACAATACAGTATTGTTAAATGTGGTCATCAGGCTGTGCTAGATAATTCTAATGTCATACCCTTTGACTTGTATTTCTCCCATTCCAACCTTTTCCCCTCTGGTAACTGTAGACAAACTTTTATTTTTGGATTGCCAGCTCACACAAAAAAAATGACATGGAGACTTATTAATTATGAAAGCTTAGCCTTAGCTTAGGCCTGTTTCTAAATAGCTCTTATAACTTAAATTAACCCATATTTTTTTAAATCTACACTTTTCCACATGGTCGTTATGTCATCTCCATTGTGCCCATCCTGGTATTCAGCATCTGGCTGGTGACTCTGTCTTTCTTCTTCCCAAAACTCTCTCTGTAAAGAAGTCCCACATATACCTCCTAACTAGCTATTGGCCATGTAGCTTTTCATTAAACCAATCACAGTGACACATTTTCACACAGTGTAAAGGAATATTCCACGACAGATAACCCTATTCCACTGCTGGTTTGGATGTAAAATGCACCCCCATAGGCCCATGTTTGCACACTGTGCTCCCAGCTATGGTCTGTTCTGGAAGGTTGTGGAATCTTTAGGAAGTATTGAGGTTTGGTAGCTCATCTCCACATCCTGTCTGCTGTCTGCTTCCTGCCTGTGGACACTGTGTGACCATCCAACCTCACACTCGTGCTGTCAGGCCCTCCCTGCCTCAGTGGATGGATCCCTTCTTAAACTGTGAGTCAAACTAGAAGAAACCCTCCTGAGTGAGGTAACACAGTCAAAAAGAGAAACATGGCATGTACCCTCTCATATATGGATTTTAGACATAGATCTGGGGAGGGCCAGCCTACAATCCCATGGCCAGAGAGTCTGGGAAACAGAAACTTCATTCAGTGGCTGATGGAAGAAGAGGCAGACTCCCACGGCTAAGCAGTGAGCTGAACTCAAGAAAGCCAGTAACAGAGAGGGAGGACTGATGACCAAAGGGATTAAGACTGGGCTGGTTTAACCCCAGAAACAGCTGACCTGACAAGGGTTAACTCTTGAATCCCAGGCATCAGCCTGGGAATCCAGCATGGGACTGATCAAGACCCCCTGAATGGGGGTGTCAGTGAGGAGGCCTAGGTAATCTATTGAGCTTTGGGCAGTAGATCAGTATTCATCCCGAGTATACATACGGACTTTGGACTCCCATCCAACAATGTGAGGTGCACTCTCACCCTGAACTCTTGGGGAAGGGTCTAGGCCCTGCCCTGGATGAAATGACAGACTATGGACACCCCCAAGGGAAAGTCCTGTTATTTGCCTGTGCATTTGTCAATAAAGTACTGTCTGGCCAATAGAAAACCTAGATAGGAGGGACTAGGAGTCGAGGAGGATTCTGGGAAGGGGAAACACAAGAGAGTTCGAGATGTAACCGCCATTGGGGTAGGAAGCCTGGAACCTCCCCGGTAAGAAACATACTTAGATTAACAATTATGGGGTAATTACTTAAGTCAGAGCTAGCCAGTTAGAAACAAGCAAGGCCAACAGCTTCATAATTAACATAGCCTCCTGTGTGTTTATTTGGGACTGATACAGCTCTAGAACCAGGCTGGCGCGGCAGAGCCCAGGCGACTGGCGGGCGGAAAGGCTCCACTCAAGGAAAGCTTCTCTTAACATGTATGTATATGTGTGCACATTCCTGTGGCTGTGGCACAATCCCTGATTGACACTGGGTGTCTTCCTTAATCACATTGTCCTTTGTTTTGAGACAGTCTCTCACTGAACCTCAAGGTCACAAATTCAGCTACATCAAGTGGGCTCTATAGATGACCATGGCAGAAAAGATGTCTCAATCAGGCACTGACTTCATTGCCTTTGGAGATTCTTGGGCCATGTGAGATCTGTTTTTAGCGTTTTGAGAACTCTCCATATTGTTTTCCGTAGTTGCTGTACAATTTGTATTTCTACCTACAGTGTATGAGCTTCCTTCCTTCTTTACATCTCCAGCCATATTTGTTATGGCTTGCCTAATGGATACTTGCCATTCTAACAGCTGTGAGGTGGTCTTTTATTATGGTTTTACATGCCAGAAAGGAATGTCATTATTTGTTCTAATGTTGAAAGAAAAATCTGCCAATCCAGAGTATTATACCTAGGAAAGCTATCCTTCAAAAATGAAGAGATTATATATATATATATATATATATATATATATATATATATATATATTTGGTTTTTTGAGACATGGTTTATCTGTGTAACATCTCTGATTCTCCTGGAACTCACTCTGTAGACTAGGCTGGCCTTGAACTCACAGAGATCCACCTGTCTTTTCCTCCTGAGTGCTGGGATTAAAGGCGAGCATCACCACTGTTCAGTGAGATGATGCTTTTTATGATAAATGAAAGTGAAGGGTTTTCTTATAGATGTTCTGCATAAGAAATGCCAAAGAGAACTCCACAGTTAGAGAAAGCTAAACAGCAACATGGAAGTATTAAAATATTTACATTTGCTAATAAATATATAGACAGAGCTGGTGGTGGTGGCACACGCCTTAAGTACCAGCACTGGGAAGATAGAGGCTGGCAGATCTTGTGAGTTTGAGGCCAGCTTGGTCTACAGAGTGAGTTCCAGAACAGCCAGGGCTACACAGAGAAACCCTGTCTCAAAAAACTAAAAACTAAGAAAAAGATATATAGATAGAAAGAATATTAGAATATTGTGTTACTATTATGTGGGTGGGGAAATTTATTGAAATTACTAAGAAAGCTAAAAGACATGAGTGTTATAAGCAGTGATATCTAAATTATGTTAATGGTATATAATGTGTAATTGTAAACTGTGGCATTAATGGTATAGAATATGGAGAGGGAGCATAGAACTTTTACATGCAAGAGAAATTGTTACAAGTTTAAAATAAGCTGTTATGACCAGTAGGTATTTTATTTGAGCCTCTCAGTGATCACAGTAGAAACATCTGTGCTGGTGACACAAAAAAGAAAGAGAAACGGATCAAAATCTAGCAAGGAATGCAGGAAAACAAGGAAACACAAAGGACAGCAAGTGAAGGACAGAAGGAGGCAAACAAAAATCAAAATGTTGGGCAAACAAAACAGTTACCAGTGTGGTAGCAGTCCCTTCCCTATCAACAGCTTTCAATGTAAGGGAACTAAAGCACCCAATGAAACAGCACAGAGTGTCTGAACGGATTTGAAAAACAAAGTCAAACGGGAAGATCCAACTGTTCACACATGCGCTAAACTCACTTTAGGTTCTAACACACACACACACACATTTATGGCTCATGGTAACATGTAAAGTGACTATCACCCAAGGTTAAATAAATAAAGCATATAACATGATAAATAAAAGACCCAGAGGCAGATATTGGGGTTCAAACTTCAAGCTGAAGATTAGAAAAGCAAAGCAGCCGGCAACTAGCTCTTACTCTACCACAGACTGAAAGATGATTCTGTCTCCACCAAACCTTAGACTGCTGCCTCTCCTTAGCATGGCTGGGGAATCCTGAGATTTCAATGTCTTCCTCTCCTCAATGTAGCTGGAGAATGAATGCCTGATACTGACTATCGAAGACCCTGCTCCTATCTTTTAAAGGCGTGTGACCCCAGGTGCTGAGATCATCTTCGTGTGAGCTGTTTCTCTTTAGTACTGGATCAATCTTGTGTAGATCTGGGTGGTTTTGAACTCACAGAGATCCGTCTACTTCTTAATCCCGAGTCCTAGGATTAAAGGTGTGTACCAGCACCTCCTAACTTCCGGCTGCCGGGATTAAAGACAAGTATCACCATTGTCTGATTTCCATAGCTTGAGGCTGGCATTGCTTTCTGAATCCTCAGGTAAGCTTTAATAAATCATAAATAATATATCACCACAAAAGCAGAATGTAAAGTTGTTGTGTATTAATATTTAAATAAATCTGGAAGTATATAAACATATATACATGAACTGGAAAGGGAAATGGGGAAGGAAAAGTAGTTGATTTGTTAAAGCATGTTGACAAGCTTGTATGTTTCTTTGTCAAAGAGAAATGTTGTTTTGTACAATTATTGTATAATGAACATAATAATTGTAAGCATGCTAATTTAAAATAATAGTTAATAATAAATAAGCATGTACTATATCAGAAAGGCATGTTGGGGTGTACAGGAAAAGGTTGTGTGTATGTGCATGTATGTGCACGTGTGTAGGGTGTCTTGTTCTCTGTCATGTCTTTGAGCTGAGGTCTCTCACTGAACTTGGAGATCACCAGTTCACCTAGGGTCCTTTCTGTCTCCATCTCTCTAGCACTGGGATTGCAGGCATGCTTGGTGCTTCACAAGCGTGCTGGGGATCCGAGCCAGGGTCCTCCTGCTTGTGTGACAAGCACTTTACCACCAGAGTCACCTTGCTAGCTCCAGCAATTTCTTCTTGTTCTTGGAAACATCCCGAAAAGACCACAGTGGTAGAATATTATTTTCAGGTGTGTGACTTTTGTTTATGTTGTTTTTGTTTAACTCTGTGAAGCTGTGTTACTGAGCCTGCTTAAACACCTGGAGGTCCTAATAAAGATCTGAATGGCCAATAACAAGGCAGAAGGGGCTGGCAGGCAGAGAGGATAAATAGAAGAGGAACCAAGGAGAGAACAAGGAGAAGATATGAGGGGCCGCTCAGGCACTCCGCCACTCAGCCAGTCACAGAGTAGGAAGGAAACTAACACAGACAGAATTAAGAAAGATAAAAGCCCAGAGGGGAAAGGTAGAAGGGTTAATTCAAGAAAAGCTGGCAAGAAACAAGCCAAGTTAAGACCGAGCATTCATAACTAAGAATAAGCCTCAGTGAGTGAGTTATTTGGGAGCTGGGTGGTGGGCCCCTCAAAAGGCCAAAAAGCCAAGAGTAAAACATTACTCAACACCACAGTATTCTCTCTTGAATTAGCCAGGTCTCTGCATAGAATAGAAGCCTCATTGCTTTCATATCCAGGTGCTCTTCTCAAGGACCTGTAACCCAGTCAGCATCCTGCTTACTATATATCCCAGCCTCTATGACCCTGAGAAGAACAGTTTTTTTTTTAAGGAAGCAGAAGAAGAATGTGAAAGGCGATTGGAATTGTAATGATTCAATTGTTAGAAAGAAGCCTGAGTTAAGACTCCAGGAACATTTGGACACCTGTGAAAGAACAGTAACCCTTCTCCTAAGATCGAGAAAAGGAATGTCACCGAAAGCGTGCCTTTGTGTTAACCAGTGTAGGTGACAGAACCGTGATGCCTTTCTTGTGTTTCTGGACCAAAGTTTTCATTTCTCCTGTTCCAGTTCATTCCGACAGGGATGGCAGCCTAATTACTTTTTTTGGCCTGGCTTTAATTGAATCCCTTTCTCCCTTGCTTAGACTCAACATTATATAATTGTTTGCATTTTTTTTAACCTTCCCAGTCATTTTAGTCAGGGAATTTCTACTGACATTGACAGCAAAAGGGCCATTTTGCCTACATTTTGGAGGCTAAGTAACCTTGTTTAAAATCAATTAATCAGCAACACTTGAAATAGAGCTATAAAAATGTTATTAGCATATGCAAATCATTAATCATTTCTATATTGTAATTGCATTTGACCCACACCACTTCACAAACCTGGCTTTAGAGGAGAACTAAGTGATTGATTGGGAGCGTAGTTTGAATACTGAAGGACAGTTTATTTTAATATATTAACCTTGGGGTAAGTTTTAAGTGACAAGCTTGCAGGTGCGGAGACTTATTCTTTCCTTGTAATTTATGTAATATGAGAGGATAGCTTTTTCTCGATAGTTGTCCTAGTTTCATTTCTGTTGCTATGGCAGAACGCCCTGACCAAAAAGCAGTTTAGGGGAAGGAAGGGTACAGTCCATCACTGAGGGGAAGTCAAGGAAGGACCTCAAGCAGCTAGTCACATCACATCTACAGTCAAGAGCCGAGGACTGGATCCCCGTTTTCATGCTCACTGCTCAGTTTCCAGCTAACCTTCTCTACTCACACTGCTAATGGCTCCAAGTAAGGGGTGGTGCTGCCCACAGCGATTTAGGAATCAGAGGTGGTGGTGGCGCACGCCTTTAATCCCAGCGCTTGGGAGGCAGAGGCAGGCGGATCTCTGTGAGTTCGAGGTCAGCCTGGTCTACAGAGCGATTTCCAGGACAGCCTCCAAAACCACAGAGAAAACCTGTTTTGGAAAAGAAAGAAAGAAAGAAAGAAAGAAAGAAAGAAAGAAAGAAAGAAAGAAAGAAAGAAAGAAAGAAAGAAAGAAAGAAAGAAAGAAAGGAATCAGAATGAATTTTCCAACTTTTGTTTAAACTGCTGGAAACTGTTTTTCTTTCTTCAGAAATGTAGCTTGACGTTCCGATGTGCAGTCTGTGTCTCTTTACTTTGGAGTCTCCATAACAAAATACTGGAGAGAAACAAGGCATGGGAGGAGAGATTTATTCCAGCTACAGTTTTGGAGGATCTCAGTTCATCATGGAGGGGAAGGCATGGTGGAGTCCAGGGCAGCAGGGACCTGTGGCAGACTCCTTATATGAGCATTCCAGGAATTGCAGACCAGGTGGGACCAAGTTCAGAGCTATCTCCTTTGAACATACTTGGTCTTATAAAATGTCATCCCCAGTTAGGAAACAAGTGTCTAAAACCTGAGCCCATCCTGGACAGTGGCCATCTTTCCTGAATTATGAGGGAGAGTAGTCAGAGGCAGGATGAGTTGAAATACATAGAAGTCATTAGGATGTTGGTGGCCAGTTAAACTACAGCCCTCCCCATCTTTGGATTTGGCAGCTGCACAAGCCTAAGTGCCTTTTACCGTGTAAATTGATTTCTCTTACTACGACTGAGAAAGTTGTAATGGAAATGTAGAAGCTATCCAATCTGGCTCTTTTTTATGTCCAATTTTCATGTATGTTTGTTTCTTCCCCCCAAATGTGTTTCAAGCATCTTCAAGAATAGCCTTCGAAAAATGTTGTTCTTTTGGGCTCTCCCACCAAGCCAAACAGCACTAACCTTTGTACAGAAGACTCATAAATGTTTGTTTACAGAGGACCATGCCCAGCGGTCCATTTTCAGATCACTTTGTAGCAATGTTGCTCAGCAGGTGCTTGGATCAGCTTTTAGGTTCTCTTCAAGCCCATTTCTTATGCTTGGCTCTCACTGTCATTATCTCTCAGACTGGGGAAATGGTTTCAGCAAATGAGTTTGCTCCCTTTCATTCAGCTCTCTGACACTTCAGCATTAGCCAGAACCTACACTGTCTGGAGGGAATAAAGGAAAAAGAAAGGGTTTAGGGATATTCTACTGAAGCTATCACAGCAGCCATAACTCACATTTATTTGGGAGGTGATAAATATCCATAGAAATAGAAATTGCAATTCTCAGAACTCTTGGAAAATTAATATTTTAATTCATCTTTATGGATGGGTTGCTAGTGTGATGTCACATATAACAGAAAAAAATGAACCATTTGCTGGCTTTCTTCCAACTGGCTGTGATGTTATCATTTGAAACAGGTCTATGGGAGTGGAAATCATGTGTGAGATAAATGTAATTAGCATAGTCAATCATGTGCTACAGTCTTCAAAAATTAGTGTGGGAGAATATCAAGTCTGGATCCTCTGTGGAATCTAAGTGTCCTGCCGTTCCTAGACACTTGTGTCTCACCGTCATTGTTACGTGCCTTCAAACCAGTCTTCTGATAGGGTTGAGACAGTGGACTCCTTCTACCCAAGCAAATTCTTGTGACTCAAAGCTTTTGTAAACAATTTATGCACATACAATAAAAAATTTTAATATATTTTATTTTCTACTCATGAGTGTTTTGCCTGAATGTATAACTGTGAACCATATGCGTGTCATGTGCTCTTTGGTACCAGAATTGGGTGTCTGATCTTTTGGGACTGGAGTTACAGATGGTTGGGAGTCACCAAAGGGATGCTGGGAATTGAGTCCAGGTCCTCTGAAAGAGCAGCCAAGGCATTTAACCACTGAGCCTTCTTTCTAGATAGCTCCCATTGGTAGTAATTTAATGAACTCCAAATCTCTCTGAATTCACTTCAACATTGTGAAAACTATCTCCATCACCTGTATTGAAAGTGATATCTACTTATTTTACTTCATTTGGGGTTTCTTTTATGTGTGCAGTATATATGTGTCATGTGTGTGCTGATTGTATGTGTCTATGTGGAGGCCAGAGTTGATGTAAGGTCCTTGTATCTCCATTTTAAAAAATCACTGTATTTTATGTATATGAATGTTTTCCCTGTATGTATATTTATGCACTACGTGTGTGCCTCATGCCCAATGAGGCTAAAAGAGGGTGTCAGAACTCCTGGGACTGGAGTTACAGAGGGTTGTGAGTTGATCTGTAGGTGCTGGGAATTGAACCTAGGTCCCCTAGAAGAGCAGCCAGTGTCTTAATCATGGACCCATCTTTCCACCCACTCCATGTCAAATTTTGGGGCCAAGTTTCTCCCTGTACCTAGAGCTCACTAGTTCGGCTAGATTGGTTGACCAGTGAGCTCCCAGGATCTACCTGTCCTCTCAACACTGGGGACATGAATGCTGAAAATCCCAACCCAGGCTCTCCTGCTTGCATAGCAAACAGGAGCAGAGTCATCCCCAGGGCCTAATTTGGGTCTTCTGAGGCAGTGTCTCTCTGTGTAGCCCAGACTAGTATTGAATCTGTCATCCTGAATAGAGGGCTTATAGGTATGTTTCACAAACCTCCAGCTAAGACATCCATTTCAACAACAACGTTATCCTTTTTCCAACTGCAAGGCACAAATTCTCTCAGGTAGAAGACTGTAAGAGTCAGAACAGTTTCTAGAAAATGTCCTCATTTGTAAGATTCATGTATTAATGTAATTAAATTTCTTTGTGTTTGCACAGTTAAAATAAAGAACAAAGGCTGACAAAATGCAGTTTCGTTGCCAAGTCCCTGGCCTTAAAAGACTTACAAAGACGGGCACATGTTCTCAACCTAGCGAGGATTTCAGGCTGTAGAGAAAAATGAAGCTGTCAAATGTGGACAGTGATTTCTTACCACAGTGCCTGCCGCCTCTTTCCAAAGACATCCAGGGGCCTTTGATAAAACTCCCTGCTAGTTGCTTCCTTAATTGCTTTTCTTTACTGCACAGTTGGAATAATTTGCTTGGTTTCTTCACCACAGCCCTTTCTTTGTACCAGCTACAATCTCCATCCAAGTAATTGCTAATACCCATAGTACGTACTAAGCAAAATATTTGTGGTCATATAGCTCTTGAGTGGCAGAGTTAGGGCTTCAATATACAGGTGATCTCTAGGAGTCTATTTTATTTGATTTGATTTTTAGTAGTCTATGCTTTCAATGACTATTCTCCAAAGTCTCATAGCTGACATTCTGGAGTCAAACCGACCAGCAAACAGGAAAAATTGTAACTCCAGATCAGCAATATGTTGATCTATAAACCCAAACTGATCTGGTTTGCCTTAGACCTAAGTCTCTATGATGGGGGTCTCTGGTTTTGCTTTTGTTTTTGAAACAGGTTCTCATGTATCTCGGGCTGCCCTTGAACTCATTGTATACTAGAGGATGACCTTGAACTTGTGCTGGAATGATAAGCACATACCACTACATCCCAACTACGACATTTAGTTAAAATCCCATAATTTCATCCCTTCTCCACTCCATGCCTGCTTTCATGGGGTGTTTGGGTTTCATACAGTCCTCAGGGCTTCAAGCATACTAGGTAACCCCTCTACCAGCAGAGAGGTAGCCAGCTCACATCTGAATTTCAACATCAGTTTCCAATCCCCAAGTCATAGTCCCTGCTCAAGGTAAGTAATGCTTTGGAATATATATGTTGGGCAGAATTCTTCAGACCTAATATTGGAACTGCCTGACCTCCATGTTAGTTTGCCCTCTTTTCCAACTCTCCATCGTGCTACCTTCTCGGGTTCCTTTTTTTCTACAAACATCCTACCTTGCCTTTTTCATGTTAGCTTTGAGTTATTTCTGTTTAGCTCAGTTTGCACACACTCTTATCTGTCTCTCTGGTTTGCAACCACCAAATTCTAAGACTGTGGATCATCCCCCAGTTCTCTATGCGAGGACACATCCACGTTTTATGGCCCCATTTATCTGATTTGCAACTTTCAGAGTGCACCCCTCATCTGAGAAATGAGGTTTATAATATCCATCCTAGAGCCATCACAGGAACTGCACAGAATGCCATACTGGAGAGCACTCTGAAAGCAATAACCCACTGAAAAAACGTTAGGCATTATTAGCACAAAAAGCACAACAATGTCTCTAAAATATGGAATTGGAAGAGATATTTATTCTGCATCATAAACCAGCCCAGGAATTACCTCACTCTGCTCCAGTTCTCCAACATTTACAGCAGCAAATGCTGATACATAGAGCAGAAAGGGCAGATGCCATTAGGAAACAAGAGCTCATGATAGCCACAGGCATTTGATACATGCCTATGGAGACTCCCAGCATCTGTGTCAAACTTTTCAATGCCCTTATCAAGTTCCCTGTTTTTTTTTCATTTGACTGGGAATGTTTTCTTAAATTAAGGCTGATATTACAAACTGATAGCCTATTGGCTGAATGTGGCTCTCTGATATACATCATTTAGCATATAGTAAGTGACCTTTAAATGGTGGCATTTAGATGGTGTTGTAGGTCAAGTTCTTCCAGAATCAGACTGAGTCAAGAATTTGGGTCCAAATGGTTTATTAAGAAAGTACTCTCAGGCCAGGTATGGTGGAGCACTCCTGTTATCCCTGCATTTGGGAGGAGGAGGCAGGTAGATCTGGAGTCATCCCAGACTCTATAGTGTATTCAAGGCTTGCCTGGACTACATGAGGCACTGTCATAAGCAAAGTGCTCCCAACAGACGTTGCTGAGGGTGTCAAAAAGCAGAGTAAACAGGCAGAGAAGCTCAATAAGAGTACAGCATCAGGGGAAGTCCCAGACTCAGCCTGATGCCATGCAAGATGGGAGCATCATAGATAACTCAGAAGGTATCATGCCTGGAATTAACGGAGTGCATCTCAGGGTCCAGAAAGAAGGGGAGCTTAAGTTCCAGATTCCCCACATCATTGGCCAGTGTTCAACCCCAAGACCCAAGAACATGCTTCTGGAAGGTCACAGGGGTGAAATATTAGTGTCAAAGTATGCAGAAACTGGGGACTGTGCAAAGATCTGGCAAACTACACTGAGTGTCCAGCTGGGAACCAACCAGGTTCACCACAGATGGATGTACACACTCTCATTTGGCACAACCTCTATTTCCAATACCTACCTGTGCTAGTTAGTTTTTGTTGTTGCTGTTTTGTCAACTTGGTATAAGCTTGAGAGTCATTTGGAAAGAGGAAACCTCAATTGATAAAATGTCCCCCTCCCCGACAGATTGGTCTATAGGAAGGTCTGTGGGGCATTCTCTTGATTAATAATTGATGCATGAGTGCCCTGCCCACTGTAGGAGGTTCCACCCCTGGGCAGGTGTTCCTGGATGATAAAAGTAAGCAAACCGAGGAACAATCCAGTAGGCCGCATCCTCCAAGGCCTCTGCTTCTGTTCTTGCCTTCAAGTTGCTGCCTTGCCTTCCATGATAATGGACTGTAACCTGGAAACCAACTAAACTCTTTTCTCTTCAAGGTGCGTTTGATCATGGTGTTCTATCACAGTAATAGAAAGCCCAACTATGACATAGACTCACATTAACCCAGGTTATAAAAAACCCTTGATCAATTATAGTTCCAGGGATTTTCTAATGGAGGGGCTTGGGTATGGCACTGTCCTTGGGGTGCTGTCTCTCTGCTGATTGAATTGTACTTTGCCTAAAAATCCACTGCCCACATCTGAGAATGGAGAGTGCAGTGAGGATTGTGAGGGTTTGTGTTGAAACTCCTCCTCTCCAAGATTCCCTTCATATTCCCTGTCACAGTTAATCATTTATTTGGCCTGGCTGATAAAGGCATAATTTGTGTAATAGAAGATTAATGAGATGATACAATGAAGATGGAGACCATTGGACCCTTTCCTTAACCTTACACATTATGAAAAGATGTTCCAAGAATCATGATCATGGAGCTTACTGGAATAGATGGCTCCTGACATAGTCGAGCTGCTTAGCCTAGGGTTCTGTGTTCTCCGGTGCTTTCACATAGGGGTCACTACCAAGCTGACTCCACAGAGAGAGACACTTACATGAACTTATTACAGTGAACTCCCAATGTAAATGCCTAATTGTGGTTATAACCTCCAGAACTATCTTGTTCTACTGAAACTGATGAGCTTTGAGGGATGGCAGCCACAGGTTATTACACAGAAAATGAAGGGCATTAAACATAATTCTCTCTAGGATGCTCTCTAATATCTCCTAAATGTGTTTTATATCCTTAACATTTTCCACAAATTCACGGCAAAAGGTCTAGCTTGGTTTTAGTCTATTGGAGCTGACAATTGATGTAACCAAGGAAACTGGTTTGTACCTCACATTTAAAAACTATCAATGGTTCTATAATGATAACCTTTGGAACTGTCCCAGCCATCATTTTGTTGTAGATGCATCCCTGGAAACACAGAAATACAAAGTAAATGAGACAGTGACCAAACCTAAGTACACCATTGTGCTGAGCAGGACAAAAGTCACAAAGTTTTTAAACAACAACAAAAATAATATGAAGGGCTGAGATATTCTGATTTAGGTTAGAGGAATATCTTGAGATGCTTCTCGGTTTAATAGTTTTCAAAAATGGAAGCAAGAAACACAACTTGGCTGCTTGTTGGATGAGTTCTCA